TATTCCAAAAATTCCCTGGAATGGAACAACCTTTTCCCTCCAAAAACCAAAGCAAAGCACAATATTCCCAGAGGAATCATTCCCGAAATTCCTTCCAGCTGGATCATGGGAACGACGCTCGGTTTGACACGGAATGAGAGGATGGAAAGGAGGAAGCTCCTGTATCCATAAAAAAAAAGAGGGATACCGAGCTCAACTCCCAAATTCCGGCTCCACACAAATCCAACCTTTATCCCCCAGAATCCATCAGGAGCGGGGGAATTCCTGCCGGGAATTCCTGCCAGGAATTCCCACGGCAGCACCTCCGACTCCACCCAGTTCTTCTCCGCATGCAAAAATTCCTTCCGGCCGCTCCATCCCGGAATTTTTTGCACGTTCCCCCCCCTCCCCCCAATGGAAACTTTTCCTACTTCGTTCCCGGAGCCGGGAGGGGCGGGGAAGGATTTCCCAAAGGAGATTCCCGAATTTCTGAGGCTCTGGAAGCTTCCAGGGCGAAAAACCGGGATTCGGCTCTGTCGTAGGACGACTTATGGAGCCACCCGGCTTCGCTGTCCCGGTGTAGGAAAAAGCAGGCGGGAATATCCTCGGGAATTCCGGGAATCGCGGGTTCGGCGCCGCTTCCCGGTCGGCGATTCCCGGTTTTCCTGTTCTTTTCCGGGTTTTTCCCGGCGAACATCCGTTCGTAGAAGCTCTTCTCGGCGGCGTCGTAACGAGGCTTTTCCAGCCACACTTCCGACGCCAGCGCTTCCCGGTTGGAAAACTGGGGTTTGCCGTTCACCGGCGGCCGCTCCTCCAAGCCCGGAAAACCGGGAATGCCGGAGTCGGGAATAAGCAGAGCCAGACCGGGCGTGGCCGGAGTGGGCAGAGCGGTGCCGTAACCCTCGTCCGGCGTTCCCAACCCGGAATTCCAGCGCGGCGTCGGGATGCTCAGGACGTCGGGAGGAAGGAAAAACCGGGATTTTTCCATGAACGTTCCCTCGGCTTTATCGAAATCCAGCTTGTTGAGCCAAACCCCTTGGATCACGTGGTGACAGGCGGCCAGATTCCCGTGGGAGCAGATTCCTTTGGCTTTGGGAATGTCGTGGTTGGATTTCGCCCCGGGAGCCGGCGGGAATTCCTCCGGGATTCGTTCGGTCTCCGGCGCTTCCCCGCTCCAGGATTCCATGAGTTTTTTCCGGTAGACGTTCTCGGCCCGGTCGTACAAGGGTTTGTCGAACCACACGCGCTCGGCCGACATTCCCAACAGGAATTCCAGCTTGGAATCCGCATTCCTGGCCTTGGGCGAGCGCTTCCTTTTCCGCTGTTTCTTGCCATTCCGGGATTTCTTCAGGTCTCCCTTGAATTCCGCGGATTCCTCGGGGCAGATCCCGTTGATTTGGGATCCCTCGGGATCCGGCGCCGCTTCCCGCTCGGATTCCTCGGATTTGGGCTTTTCCAGCCAAACTTTATCTCCCGGGCAGGGATTTTTCCGTGTCCTCATCTTCCCAAAAAAATCAAACACAAAAACCAGGAGAGCAGGGAAAGAACAAGCACAACAAATGTAGTGGCAGCAACAGGCAGAGCAGGAAGTTTTATCCCTTAAAATTCCCAAACATCGGATTTATTTTTCCCTCTTTTTGGTCTAAATCAGAATTCCAAGGAAGCCCAAACCACCTCCTTCCTAAAATATTCCAAATATTCTTCGTTAAAATTCCCAAACATCGGATTCATTTTTCCCTCTTTTTGGTCTAAATCAGAATTCCAAGGAAGCCCCAACCACCTCCTCCCTAAAATATTCCAAATATTCTTCGTTAAAATTCCCAAACATCGCATTCATTTTTCCCTCTTTTTCGTCCAAACCGGAATTCCAAGGAAGCCCAAACCACCTCCTCCCTAAAATATTCCAAATATTCTTCCCAGGATTTAAAACTCCAAACTTCCCCATTCTGTTCTTTTCACATTAAAAAGAAAAACCCACCGGGATTTTGTCGGAATCCTTGGAATTCCACGAGATTATTCCAAGTTTTAACGGATCAGCTCGTTAGTTATTCCCAACCAAGCACAATTTTGGGAAAACTGATCCCAAAACTGATCCCGAAACTCCCGATTTTGGGAGTTTTCCGAGGTCGTTTCTCGCCCTCGGTCGGATTTTCCCACGAAAAGGCGGCTGCTGAAAAACCGGGATTTCGGTCGGGATTCCAAATCCCAAATATTGGCAAATTCAACCGGGTCAAGAGTCGGGAATCTGCTGATTAATTCCATAATTAATTAGTTAATTAAGAGCAATTAATCTGTCGGCCAATAAAATTAATTCCTCTCCCGGGGTTGGGGTTGGAATGTTCTCCGTGGTTTGGCATTCCAAGAGTTCCCGGAAGATTTTAGGGAGAGCCCCAAGTCCAGGATTGGAATTCCAAACAATCAACTTCCTCTTTTTAAAATCTGGGTTTTAAATTCCAGGTTTTAAACTCCAGGTTTTAATTCCAGGTTTTAATTCCGGTTTTAAATCCGGTTTTAAACTCCAGGTTTTAAACTCCAGGTTTTTAAACTCCAGGTTTTTAAACTCAATTTTTTAAACTCTGGTTTTTAAACTCTGGGTTTTAAACAAATTATAACTTACATTTCAAACTTCATTTCTAAACCCCAGTTTTTAAACCCGTTTTTAAACCCCAGTTTTTAAGTTCCAGTTTTTAAGTTCCAGTTTTTAAGCTCCAGTTTTTAA